ACAATGTTTTTTTGGCTATTGCTAAAAATATACCCCAGCGACTTAAGACCGGTTTTGTGGTCCAGGGTCACAAATGTCGAGGTTAGGTCTACAGTGGCCATTCTAGTCCAAAAACGTACTTGCTATTACCCTTCTAAAGAGTTCTGAGAGAGTGGAGGGAGGGCGATCAACGGTGCAGAAACTCTGACATTGAGGAATTACATTCGGCTGAACTTATACTATAGGGCCTAAAAGGGCACAACACCACAAATCTGATAACAGCAGACATACGGGAGGCTCTTTTTCCCTTGCAGCTGATGGGACATACCTCTGTGGGGATGGGTAGACAGTTAAATCTGCTGAACTAACGCGGTTCAAAGGCCACATCCAGTAATCTCCACACGACAGGGCCTGCAGCACTCTCGCTCTGTCCTGGTTCTCAGGGAAGAGCAGCTGGCGTGGGAATGGTGCAGAGTCACATTGCACTGGCACTTTCCCAGTTTGTTTCGGAAAAGAGGGTAGAGTTGATAAACCCGCAGTATAAAGTTGGTCATAAAAAATGTAAAGCAGTACACAGCAAGTGACAGAAACAACAGTGAGCCAGTTCTGCTGCGCTGCAAACCAGGTGTGATCTTGGTCAAATCAATAAAAACACTGCATTAAGACTTCAGCAGGTAAAATATTCAATGGAATGCATTGCATTAAACATAAAACGGTGTCAAAATAAAAAGTTCTGTTTGAATGCTAAGAGCTGCACACTGTGCATAAACTTTAAAAAGCTTTATAAGAAAAGAAAAGCACTTTGTAAGCTTTTCGCTTAAGCACAATAACCTGAAAATTGGATGCATTTGTCTGAATCCAAAGAACGGTGGCGTTTCAGCACACTGCCTGATTTGCTTCCGAATTTACATAACTTTCATAAGCCAGCTTTATTTATTTATTTATTTATTCATTCTTTTGCTATTTCATCGATTTCTTACACTTAAACAGAACACAGCTCTTGTGATGCCATAAAACAGTCCAGAGCTGTATTAACTAGGGAAGAAAGGAAAGGAAAAAAAAGAATATTTATCTTTCTCCATATCCCCAAATGTGTGATAATTGGATTACGAGATTCCATAAAACACCTAAAAGTAGAAGCTAAAGCAAACTCTAATAATCCAACTTTGATAAATATGTAGGCAGAGCGTCTTCATCAGAAGATAGCTGGCCTTTGAGCCTATTTAATTTAAGCGTGAGTGCTGGTCTGCTGCAGGATGCTGCACGCTGCTGGAGCGATAAGTTGTGTTGGATCGAAGAGACGACTCTGTTTATGCAGAAGGGATGAGGGATGTTTCTGTCCCAAGGTGCTAAGTGACAGTATACCACTCCTGAACTGATCTGAGAACAGTACCTGAGGATTTCTTTATTGCGTGCTTATCTATATGCTGGTTTTGGGGTCCCAAAATGTATGATGACCAAAAATAAATAAATAAAATTAAATATTTTAAATATACCTGTCAAAAATATGTGATATAAATCAGTATATCAGTTTTAATAGGACAAAACTGCAAAAATAGCAACAAAAAAAATTCCCAAGAAAAAATTATTCATTATCACTTAGACATTGTGCTTCACTGATGATAATCTCCCCAAAGACAGCACTGTAACCATGGATACCAGATTCTAAATTTCCATCCATATGAAGAAGGACGCATGCAGCTACATAGAGGAATAGTGAATTCATGACCATGTCAAGCTCTAGGCTATAGAGCTCCTTTTGAAAAGTATGGATATTCGGTACAGCAGGGAAGAACTGCAGAATAGGCTATACTGTCATACAGATATTTTTAATATTATAAAAATAAATTTTCCAATAATTGGTGGCAACAATTAGGCTAATTTCTAATGAAGAGACCAATTTATATGACAGATTTTAATGTAGGCT